TTATTCACTTGGGCATAGATGGCTTCAGGAGCCCATCTTAATCCTTGCTAGGGCAGGCCCTCTTAGCCTGCATGTCTCTGATTTCCTGGTTTGGCACACAAAATCCCTGTCAAAAGGGGAAAGGCACCTTTAAAGGTTAGGTAATGGAACCACACAGGCTTCTGCCGTGATGTCTCAAATCTAACCAGTGAGGATTCAGCCCTCTGAATAGGTTATAAGGCCGTGTTCAAATAAAGGAGACGTAGTAGATCAAACTGCTTGTGTAGACCCCAGGTATCTGAAGGCCAGGTCTGGGTTAAGAGAGAAGACAGGTCGCTGAAGCAGGAGGATGGGGTGGGGTGGGAGTCCTCTGTCTGGTGAGGAGAGAGAGCTGGAGAGAAGTGCCAGGAAGGAGAGTGTCTTTGGGGACATGGGGGAGTGAATGAAGCCTCTGACAGGGAAATGAGTAGACTCAGCAGACAGATGTCTGGTTCATGATTTTTCCTGGCACAGACCCAAACTACAGTTAAATTACATGTATGTATTGAATAAAACGATTGGCATTTCGGTCGTGCTTGAAATTTGCATTTGTATTGAAGAATTAAGATTTTTGTTAAAAGTGAGCGACGAAAGCAGAGCTAAATGTTGTGTCTCCATTGAGAAGACTGTTGGACCCACACCAGCCTAATGCCAGTCACGGTTTTGCCTGCTGGCTTTGGCCTGCACTTGCTACTCCTTACTAGGTAAGAAGCAGAGGCCTGCGGTTAAGGGCAGGATCTTGGATTAGACCACTCTCACCCCAAGAGCCCATCTCGCACATGGTCGCAGCCTTTGGTCCTCGAGAGGCTGGAGGTCAGCGAAGGGCCAGAGACCTTTCTAAGAATCCAGTGGGAGCTATGGACTCCCTATTCAGAAAAATGCCCAGACTCACAACTTTTGCATTAAATTTCAAGGATGGGGGTGGATAATTAAGGGCCGTCCCTGAGGCCCAAGTCAAGAACCCTTGCTCTGGCCACAGGTCACTGCTGGGTCACCGGGAAATGTCCCTAAACCCCAGCCTGACCATGAAGCTACTTTCCTGCCCATCGAATTTTCACTTGTCATTCTGCCCATTTGCTAGGAGGCACAGTCGCTTGATTTCGGTAGCACCGTATGCCCTGAGGTGTTTGTGTGGTAGAAATATTGAGTCATAATTTCTGTTTTTATTAAAATCCTAATTTTTCCAAAGCCTGCTTCTCTTTAAAACATAATTTGATTCCATTTTATCTTTAAGTTGGCACACATTTTTGTGGCTGGGCTGGCTTATTTGTAAAAATCTCTGCAGGAGGGGGCATCTGAAGATTCTTCTGCTTATGTCTTACACATCCTTTCAGCATTATAAAACCATTTCTCGTGTTTGTATTTTTTCAGAGATGGAGGAACAGTGTTCTGTCATCTTTGATGCCCTCGAGACAGTTATTACTGTTTTTTGTTTCGTTTTGTTTTTGAGATGGGGTTTCACACTGTTACCCAGGCTGGAGTGCAGTGGCACAGTCTCGGTTCACTGCAACCTCTGCTCGCGGGTTCAAGTGATTCTTCTGCCTCAGCCTTCCTAGTAGCTAGGACTACAGGCATGCACCACCATGCACCACGCCCAGCTAATTTTTGTATTTTTAGTAGAGACAGGGTTTCACCATATTGGCCAGGCTGGTCTTGAACTCCTGACCTCGTGATCTGCCCACCTCAGCCTCCCAAAGTGCTGGGATTACAGGTGTGAGCCACCGTACCCAGACCAAGATAGTCATCAATGCTTTATAAGTGAAAATCCACAGAGATTCAGGATGGAGGGTGGGCGTGCAGGGGCCCCAGGAGACAAGCAGGACTTTCTTTGTAAGAGAAGAGGGGTGAGGATGTGGATAAGCATGAGGACCCGACTATGGCAAACAGCACTTAGAAAGGGCGATAATTATCAGTATCTTTGAATTCCACATCAGAGTAGCGCAATCAACAAACCCTTGGCCCTAAAAGGGAAGGAGGTTTTGTATCTTTAAAACTCCATCAAGACCTGTCTCTTCAAACCCTCCATTCAGTGCAGTGCCTGCTGATGTGGGTGCTTTGTGGATGTCAGTGGATTGGTATTTACATTGCCATGGACCTCTTTCAGACAGAGTTGACCTGTTGATTACAGCTACCTTTCCATCCATGTATCCCCAAGTTGGACCGCGATGGGGGCGGAGCTGGTCTTCTCTTTGTGCAGATGGACCGAGCTGCAGTGCAGGTGGAATGAAAGTGTCCTCTAAGATGTCTGCTGTCAACATGGTGTATGAAACCAGCTTCACTCTGATTATTTACTTGAGGCTGGGCAGGAGAATTGTTTACAGATCACATTGGGAGAGAAAGGGCAAGTTCTCAGAGGCTGTGGGAGACGACAGTGCTAGGTCCTTGTTGAAGGTTAGGGCATGACTTGGTCTGGATTTGTGCCACCAAGGGGCAGTGTGCCAGCCTCCTATGGCCGTTCTTCCCTGGGCGGGACTTCAGGGCCACCAATCACCCTGGATGACTCTGCTTCTGGGGCTCCTTTGCTAGGCTTAATTTCCTCTGCTGGAGCCAGTGTCTTTGAGAGGGATCGTCAGACACAGAGGACATGTGCTGTTGATTGACAGTGGGAAACGTTGGAGGGGTTTGTGTTCACGTTCGTCTGTGTAGTTAGTACCATGCGGCTGGATCTGTGGAAGACTTTCTGGCTACTGGAAGTCAGGGACAAGCTGGGTTTAATTTTCGAGTAAGGCAGACAGCAGGAGGAGGTGTGGTCCCCGAAGGTCTGTAAACACATTACGCTGAGTGTAGCAGTGAGTGGGAAAGGTGAGGATTTTTCCCGTACTGGCTTTTGAGCAAATAGGAAATCACAGCTTTGAAAGGATGAATCATTCTTTGTTTCATGAAGTTTATGGCAGCCTCACTGGAGCAGTTGATTTTAGTATGCAGTCCATTCTTTGTGAGAACAGCTAATTTCAAGCAGAAAAATAAATTGCCTGCAAAATGGAGCTACCTCTCCTGTTGAGATGGTTAAGGACTTTGCACCCTACTCTACCTATTGGGTGGTGTTGGATTTCACTTATTTTTGATTGTCCTTTTTCTTCCCAAAGTAGAATGCCCAGGCACTGCCCTCTTCTCCCCCAGCTGGTGCTGGGTGAGAGGAATTCTGCCAATACCAGGTCACTGCAGAGGAAGTTGCAGCTGTGGCACCTTTGCCATCGGGAGGGATTTGTGTCTGAGCTCTCTGACTTCCACAGCATAGACTGGAAATGCAAGCTCATGGGGAGCTGAAACAGCCACCCACTTTAAAACTGACCTGAGATCCAGAAGAGGCAAAAGGGAACAGAGCCAGGAGGACAGGCTGGCAGAAGGGAGGCCCTGCTAGTCTCCACATTAGCCATTCAGACACAGCAGCGGTGGCGCTGGCTGGCAGCAGCAGGGGGTGTCATGAGGTGGAGCTGGAGGAGAGCCCCAGGGCCACTGGCCATAAGTGCTGAGATCCTGCGCCCATCTACCCTCAACCTCCCAGTGTAGAATCAGGATAGCTCACAGCTCAGAGACTTCCCTCTGGCTGCTCTTCTCAGGGTTAGCCCAGGTAAGGAGTCCTCAATTATTTCAGCATAATCTAGCAAAGCAACTTGTTAATGATGTCAGAGAATACCCGTTATGAGATGGCTGGAGAACTGGGCACGTAACGAAAGAAAACTTAGCTCTTGGCTGGGGGAGTATCGTCTGGGCTTCACTGAGACCTTCCCAACCATTTCTTTAGAGTTGGGGTTATTTAGAGCTGACTGAGAGCACCTTAGGAGTATGTCTATGGAAAATGTCGATTTATATTGAAGTTTTGAAAATACGTACCCCAGGAGGGAAGGAACACCATTATTTCCTCTCTTTGGAATGTCGGTAAGAAATGGTCAGTGTGGCTATGTCAGGCTAGGCAGTTTTAAACACCTTGACCACTAAAATAAACCTGTAGATTTAAGATGATGCTGTCTTAAGGGGGTTAGTAAATCATTCAGTTTTTTCATGGACATTTGGACAAGCCTGTATCCTTTCCAGGTTAATACCTTTGAGCTTCTGAATTTCTGTATATTATGTCTGACCTGTTGATAATTGGAAAGAAATGTATAATGTCCTGTGCAGAGTGCTTCTGCTTATATATAAGCAAGCACCATAAGAACACAGGTAAATGTGGAGTGTGGAATGTGGACACGTCTTTCAATAGAACTCTGAGAGCAAGTTTATCTCGTAGCCAGAGGTCTTATACTTGCATATTGGAAAATTTCTTGCGCAGCAATCCCATTGCACAGTTTCTTAAGTTGCCTGTTTCCTATGTAATGTGAAAAAATGGAATCGAGTGACTGAATAAACTTGCATTGAGCAAAGCAGGGTTTGTTGGCCACCGTGAGTCCCACAGTATTCGAAAGTTTTGGGAGTTTGGCCTTAAACTTTCATCTGTTGTCTTCCTTCCTAAACTAATGCCAATTCTCCACCTTTTCTTACACCCGCTAGAGGGATCCTCATTGATTTGGATAGTAGTCTTAGAGCACGTTTTTCCATGAATAATTTTAGTCAGTCCCTGGATAATCCAACTTTTACTTATAAACAGAGAAATTTATATTAGCTGTGAAGGGTTCTGGGTTGTGCAAGTTTACGGGAGTTTAACTTTAGTGAATTCCTACTTGGTAGCAGGCAGAATGAAGGGGGCTCATACCCATGTACTGTAGTTAGTTTCTTGAAGAACGGGGAGCTGTTTTGTCAGGGAAGTCCTTAGTTTCACTAATCGGGGATGGCGGGAGAGATGAAAGGGGGTATGCAGTGTCCAAGGCACAGGGCCGACCCCAGGGGACTCATCTGCCCTGTGGCCAATAGGACTGGGTCCCAGAGGAGCCCAGCCTGGGACGGGATTGCGTTCCTTCTGTCATTGTGAAGCGTATAAATGCATACACTGTATTTCTATCTTCTATTGGACTAGCTGGTGATTTTTACTGATGATTTCATTTTAGCCACACTCAGGCTCTGAATTGGTTTTGTCTGAAGATGAAAAAAGTGACAATGAAGATAAGGAAGAGACGGAATTGGGCGTCATGGAGGATCAGCGTAGCGTCATTCTTCATCTCATTTCACAACTCAAACTCGGAATGGATTTGACCAAGGTAGGTCGGCGTGTTCGCAGATTTGTGGCTAGTTGTTGGGGTTCTGTCTCTGTCCTCAAGCCATCTCTGTGCACATTCTTTTCATTGTGGTGAGATTGGAGAGTAGAATGGGGAAAAGGCCAGCATTTCAAGTATGGATATTCCAGGCATAATTTGAAAAGATGTTTGTACATAAATGCTTATCCTCAGGGCTGGACAGCCTTGCCTTTGATTCTCTGGAAGAGCTGCTACTCTACAAGGGCAGGGAAAACAGAAAAAGCATATGTGATGATAAGAAAAATTCAAGGTACTGTTTCTTTGTTTCTTGCTGTGTTCTAGAGATAATTGTAGGTGGCCTACGGAGATGGCTGTGACACAGTGGCCATAGAGAGGAAAGATGGGGAAGGGAAATGGTGGATCCGGGAACGAGGCCACTGTGTACACCCAACCTCATGACCTGCTGAGGGCTGTCCTTGGCTGTGACAGCTGGTCCCCGAGGGCAACCTTGTTGGTGATCCAAATCTCATTGCCATGGATAGAAGTGGAACCAACTCTTCCTGGTGCTGAGTGCAGGCAGGACGCCCCCTGAGGAACCTCACCAAGAGAACCAGTGTCCTGACCACTGATGTTGTGGAGGGAGTCCCACATACAACACCCCTCACCGCCTAGTCTGTAGCTTCCTTCTGGCGGCAAGCAGGAGAGGCAGTTTTGTGTATAGCTGAAAGGTTGCGTGGTGTCCTTGGGCCCTTTTCAGGTGGTAGAAAGAGCCTGGAGTTTGGCCTTCCTGGGTTCCACTCCCAGCCAGTGACTCCAGTTGGGAGCCTTCCTGGCATGGTGGCATGAGAATCGCAGGAGGGGTGCAGCGGACCTGACCCAGGCTGAGCTGGCAAGTGTGTCACCATCTTATCCTTGCAAAATGCTACGTTATGTGGTTTGACTGTGTGGTAGGGTGAAAGTTCTAGATTCTGAAGGCCAGCTAGAAAAATGTGGATGTACTTGAAATGGTCAGAGGCACTGAAGGCCCAGCCTGGGGAGCAACCCTCAGGGCAGCTGGCTTGGTTGGCCACAGTGAAGGGTTTGGATTCCACAGTCTCATCTCAGACTGGGCAGAGGGCCAGAGAAGAGAGAGGGGAGCGGCAGGAGTGTGAGGGATTCTTTGAGGAGGAAGATGACGGAACAGAGTGACTAACCATTTATAGAAGATAGGAGAGAGGCTGAGGAGGTGGGAGCCTCTAAGATGACAGACACGTCTTTTCTTTGAAATGTTTTCATGGGTTTGAATGTGAGTGTGTCTGATATTCTGGGAGATTGTGCCACTTTAAACAAAGCAGTGGGCCCACACTGAAGACGCCCGGTGTAGAAAGCTCCCTCTTCGCCATCCTCTGCCCTCCGCGTGGCTGCTTATGTTTTGCACGCCAGGCTGTGACAGCCTGTTCTCCACGCTGCTGCTTTCCCTTCATTTCAGTCCTCTAGCTGGAAAATGCTGATTGTTTTTCAGCTAGAGGAGTCACTTAAGTGCTTGGCTTGAAAAAGATGCCCATGTTTTCTTCTTGTGGGTTGTGTAGACACTCAGAGCTTGAGTTAGTTTGACGAAATGTGGATGATAATGCGTCCAATCACGATCTCAAATCTCAGTGTTTCCAAACTGGGTCATGAACCATTAGTGGGTTGTGAAACCAGTTTAGTGGGGGTCAGGCCATCCTTTCTCAAAAATGAAATAAGATACAGTAGAAAACATCAGAGCATTCCGTGCGTGAAACCTAGGTCTCTGGATACATGTGTACTGGGTCACGATGTAAAATATATTCTCATTGTGGATTTTTTTTTAATGTTTACAAAACTCAGACCTAGAATCCTGAATGACAGAGGAAAGAGACTGTAAGAGAAATTGAAATTGCCAAGGTGAGATACGGAGAAGCAAGACAATGCTGCAGGGGCTATGTTATGGCAAGCTGAGTGTCTGAGTGACTTCACGCTATTCCTGTCTTGTTCTAAAATAAAAAAATCATCACAGCTGTGCATTTCTTATTTCTTATTGTTTTATTAGGATATGATTGTTTTGCATTTCCAGAGCCCCAGCCTCTTCCTGAAAGAGCAAACATTGCATTTCTCCCAATACTCAGCTGAGCACCGGAAAGAATAACTTTTCCTGTCTGTGGTTTATTAAGTTATTTGACTGGGAAGAATCTGTCATTCAAAAACCAAAGGAAAGCTTGGAAGCTGAAATACTTGTGAGAGGCAGAGGTAGACCTGTTACTTCCTATGAGATTTCTTGGCTTCTGTTGCCCTGCATTATAAAAAGGTTGATGAAATTTCTTCTCTCCTTACTGTCCCTTTTTTCTTCTTGGCTTTTGTCCATGCCATTAAGTTAAGCCTGTACTAATGAAAGAACTTAGCCAATGGAGTATCTGATGAGCAGGCACCTGGAGATAGAATCTTCTTCACCTCAAGGATGAAGGGTCTAGTCTTTCTCGAAAAACAAGTATACTTCCATGTCCCTGAGGATGTGCCGGTGTTGGCACATTTGCGTGTCACAGAGCCCAATACTTTCTTTTCCCCATTAATCAGTTCATTCGAAATATTTTTAAATCAGCTATTTTATGAAGCTATGAGTTCCAGAAAATAAAGGTGATATTGGGAAAATTATCAAAAGCTATTTAAAGCATCTATAAGATGGTCTCTCTTTCTCTTTTCTACAGATGAGTCACACCTTTGAGCTTAATCTTTGAAAGGTTAGAGAATCAATTGATCTTATAATGAAAATTGGGCTTTTGTTTCCTTTTTCAAATATCTTGGACAAATCATTATCTGTTTAAAATTTGTCCTTGTATTTACTGGTTTTGCAGAGGAAGGCATTGTCATGCACAGAATTTGTAATTAAAATCAAATCATTTGTTTAAAAGGGAGTTTGCAAAAAAAATGGTTTTGGTCTTTTATAATTCTCATTAAAAGAATATCTGGCAAATTAAAAAGAAATGAGGGCCTGCAGTGCGGTGTCCTGCCTTGGTTCACTGTGATTACCGGACAGGGTCAGGCCCGTGGGTGTTTGACTTGTGAGGTTGCTCAGCACCCCAAGCTCAGAAGGGCTCCACGCTTGGTTCAATGCCCTGCTATCACTGTCTTGAAATTCTTAATACTTTTCAAACAAGGGGACTTGTGTTTTCACTTTCCACTGGGCCCCACACAGCGTGTAGCTGGTCCTGCCTCCAGAAGCACCCTTGTCGACTCTCTTTCCTCAGGGTGGCACCATAACCCTAAGTTACTGGTGACTACTTCCGCTGGAGAACCCACTGTATTTCCACACTCTGTGGGTAGCCTAGAACAGGAGAGGATGGAGGAGCCACAGTGAGGTGGAGGGTCGCCGAAGGTCTGGAGTGTTGCACATGCTGGTGAGAGGCTCCGCTGAACCTGGAGTGGGCATTAGGGTCAGGTCCTGCAGAGCCTGTGGGCCGTGTGAAAGGGACAGACTCGATCCCAAGGGCTGTGGGAAGCCTTGGAAGCCTTGGGCAAATGAGCAGCGTCATATGGTCAGGACATCCTGGCGTGACTGTTGTGCCAAGTTCTAGGCTCCAGGGAGAAGGGCCACAAAATCCATCACTGAGCTTGGAGGTGTAGGACCATTTTTTACCTCGTTTTCAGGGATGTGAAAGGCAACAGTTCGTCATATGTTTACTTATGTAACCTATATTTATTGAATACTGCACATGCCAGATACTGTTGAAACACTGAGAGTGGAGCAGAACATTCACAGTCTGTGCCCTGATGGGGCCTGAGTGATGATGGAGGAAAACAGACAAGAAACAAGTGAGAGAGAGGGAAGTGTGGGGGAAGGAAAGAAGATGGAGATGAAGTATAATGAAGAGAAATGGAGCATGTCAGGGAGAGTGGCTGGTGGTGAGATGGGGGTGGGATGTGTCCTCGTAGGTAAACTGGTCAGGGTAGGATTCTACTAGGTAACATTTGAATGGAGACCAGATCTGGATGAGGGAGCCAGCCATGTGAGCATCTACGGAAGGGTGTTCTGGCCAGAAGGGATGGGGGTGACAAAGGCCCAAGATGGAACTTGTTTGGCATTTGGGGATGGGCAGAGAGGCCAGTGTGGCTGGATCAGAGTGAACTGGGTGGGATTGGCAGGAGAGAAGTCGGTGAGACAGCAAGTCATAAGACCTTTTAGGATATTGTGAGGGCTCAGGAGGTTGAGTGATATGGGTGGCCACTGGAGGGTTTTGACCAAGGGAATATGTGACATTACTTGTATTTTTGTTTTATTTTTATTTTATATTTTCAAGATGGAGTCTCGCTCTGTCACCCAGGCTGGAGCACAATCATGTGATCTTGGCTCACTGCAACCTCTGCTTCCCGAGTTCAAGTGATTCTCCTGCCTCAGCCTCCCAAGTAGCTGGGATCACAGGCATGTGCCACCAGGCCCAGCTAGTTTTTTATATTTTTAAGTATAGACGGGGTTTTACCATGTTGCCCAGGCTGCTCTCAAACTCCTGACTTCAAGTGATCTGCCTGCCTCAGATTCCCAAAGTGGTAGGATTACAGATGTGAGCCACTAAGCCGCTTACTTGTATTGAAGAGCAGTTTTGACTCTGCTGTGCAAAGTAGACTGATGCGTGGTGACTTGGATGTGAACAGCCGGGGTCAGGGTAGAAGAGAGCAGGAGCTACTGTAGTAACTCAGGTGAGGTGCTGGTGGCACAGTGCTAGTTAGTGGCTGTTTCTGGATGTGCTTAGAAGATATTGCCAGCAGGATTTGCGTATGATATGCAGTGTGAGAGAAAGAGAGGAATAAAAGATGACTCTAAAGTTTTGACTTGAACAGCTAGAATAATAATTATTATTAATTGCCCTTTGTTTCATTGTTTTTTATTTTTTTATTGTTTAAAAAATTTTTTTCTCTTTCCTTTATTTTTGGCCTGAACAGCTAGAATAATTATTATTATTGCCATTTGTTTTACTGTTTTATTATTATTAACTGCCATTTATTATTAGTTGCCATTTGTTTCAATTATCTAT